GAGGGCACGGGATTCGCAGCAGCTGTTCAGTCGCGACCAAGACACCACTGGTCCAAATGCCATCATAGAAGCTGTCAATAATGCGAGGCTTGGCCCCAATGAGGGCAAGAGCATGGTCGCGTGCCTGCAAATGACTGGCGATGTCAGCTTTGAAAGTGGCTCGGCGGCCTGGCTTCACTTCGAAAACAGTTGGCATACCGTCAGTCAGTAGCCAAAAGTGCTGTCCCGGCATACCACCAGGGGCGGTAACGACTGCATCCGAATCCCAACTGTCGCCTTGAGTCAAGAGGGCAGCTGCCTCGTAGGTGGCTGGAGCTCCACAGCCGTGCGGAACAAACGTAACAAGCATGCCCGACACCAAGGTAATGCGTTGACCATGTGCCAAGGGGCGAAGGAGGCCATGCACGTAAACGTCCCAGGCGCTCTGGCAGGACACACCTGCAGCTCGAAGCAGAGACTCGCGGTTCAAGCTGCTGTAAAGAAGCTTGGCGAACATGGTTTGATTCATCCGGCGACAGTCGAGAAGCACAACCGGCCGGTCGGAAAGCCAAGTAGGCACGGCCAAGGCCACCAGGAACCATCGATCAGTCTGAGGCGAGGCTAAAACAAGCCTGGGAAATCGTGACACCGCCTCCTGCTCCCTGGCACCCACAACGGCGGTCAAGGCCGCATCGACACTGCAGGGCATAAAGGCAGACGCTGTGACCATTTCTGGGAGAAAGTCCGGTACATAAATATATGTGTTGAACTCGCGCAGGCGGTGGCCTCCCTCCTGAAGGGGAGTGGGGGTGTGAGCTTCATCTGGCGCACCGTCCAGATCGGACGCGGGTAGCTCCGGCGGAGAGTGCAGGGAGGTCTGTCCAGTCGGGGACATCGCCTGTGCATCTGAGGTAGTGCCCCCAGTATCATCAATCGGACGCATTAGTCTCACTGTAGGGTCCAAGGGCTGTGGCTGCCGAAAGAGATTCCTGGGTGCAGCAACAGAGGGGAAGGTCCCTGTATATCGCTGGTCAACTTCGTCAGGGAAGTCATTCCAGACTGCAACTGAGAAGTCCTCGGCCTCATTCCAGCTGTGACCCGATGGGACCGACGGGTCGAGCCATGGGGGAATCGTGCCCTGTACGACGTGGCTTGGGGACCCAAAATCATCAGGCAGATGCATGGCATGTGCGGGCACATCATTCGCAGCTGGCGGGGCGGACATAGCAGGGGATGAAGTATCCGACGACCCAGCAGGCTGTGCCTCTTTTACATAGAAGAGGAGTACACAGCTACTTTCAATCGAAACATAATCCCCTATGAAGTAGCCACCATGAATGCCTACCTGGAAAGCAGGCGGAAGATCAACCCCAAAGTCTGACAACAGGCTTGGCACGTGGATGGTGGGAACGTGTGCGTGCACAAAGACGGGTTTAAGTCCAAGAGGACGCATGTCACACAAGACGAACAGGTCCTGACGCGCACGAGTAGCTGGTGTATCAGCGATGGGTCGAACATCATGGACAATGACCAGTTCAGGACAAAAGGACCCTTGGATGTCCAAGTCGGGCGTATGAAAGGTACAAGTCGTGATGCGAGTAGCATCCAGCCGAAGGCACCGCACAAGATGCTCGATGATTGTTTCACCGTAGTGAAAGTGTGACGCAATGCAGAATCTTTGGCTACCATACAGCACGCCAATGCAGGGGTGAAGTTCGACGCCGAAGAAGTGTCGCATAGGACCCCAAGCAGACCTGTCAGACAGCTGTGTGGAAAGAATGCGACCAGGCGCGAAGCTGGCATCGCGCGCAACAGTGATGACGTCGCCATCACATAGGGTAACTAATGCAGCTGATGGCCACGGTTGGGATCGAGCACCACAGAAAATGCGAAGCGGTGCCTCGTCCTCGGATGCCAGAGGTGTCAAGAACTCCAACAGCTCAGCGTAAGAAAGCTGACGCGGTAGGACAGTGGCGAAGTAATACCCGCCCACCCTGGTAAGGTCAGCTACGACAGCGGCGTAGCCATCGTGGACACCCCGAATGCATCCTGGGTATCTAATAACATGCAGATAACCATCGAATCTCTGTGGCCTTAGAGGTTCGATACAGGTCATCACACCCTGAGGAACACCTGGAGTGTGCTGCAATAACACGTCGAAAACCTCTTGCATGCTGGCCCGGCGCGGCACAGATACAGCGACAGCCACCGTAGCATAATGTGGAGTGTACACATATGCCCCAAGCCAGTCATGGTCCTGGGTCTCCAGTAGACCTTCAGCATCCCAGTTCTCAGTTCTGGGGATGACAGGAAATACAGGGGCTTGGGTGGACACCGGATCGGCCCAGGGTACCTCAGGGAAGGACATACCGACTTGGGAGGTCAGGGTCTCTGGTCGGACGAGGTGAGGGCGACGACTGGCAGGGGGAAAGTCATCCGGGCCCTCAGAACGTGCCATAGCTTCGGCCACCGGAAGGTTGCATACCCAAATCGGAATAATCGCACCCCAAGGCTGAAAGAAATATGGCTGAGGCAGGTGCAGCAAACCACACAGGTGCAAAACACGCCCAATCCAAAGCCAGGAGCGGTGGCCACAGCGTGGCACCAGGTGCTTAGGCTTACGTTTGCCCGGACTCCAAGCAATAACTGGTCGGGTTGAAGCGGTATTGCCAAGAGGGACAAGAAAGGCTGAGGCTGGACGGAACACCTTGCAAGGGCGGGCACGTCGACGGGCGCAACCGTGCAGGCACAGGGGCCAAAGAAGGGCGCTGCAGATAGCAAGTAGCACACAGCACAGCCAGCCCCTTGCAAGGGGGACAAGGAAGGCAGCAACATACGCAAGAAGCCAATCAGGGCGGCCAGCGACCGCAGGCGAAGAACCAAACCAGGCAGTAACCCCAGAGCGACCGATGTTACTTTTTCGCGCTCTGGCTGGTGCTTCGACTGAGATGAGAGGAGGGCAGCCAGTGAAGAAGGGATTGCTCAGACTCGAAAGTCCAGGGTCCACGGGTGTGCCAGAGACACAAAGCACACAGGAACAAAGGACCATGAAGTGGTGAGCCGGTGTTGAGGTCGATGCCCCAGAGCGACCGATGCATCTGTTTCGCACTCTCAACAACGGCCCTGAAAGAGGAGAGGGCCCTGGCTGGCAAAAGGAAAAATGCAGACAAAGACAGGGGAAGTGGCACGGGCTTCGAAAATCCAGAAGCTCACTCGATCGGCCTACTTCGCTACTATGTCCGGGTGAGAAACCTAGGACCGGCATCGAATAGCCTCCATCACAGACCCGCCTACTAGAAAGCGCCTCACAAGCATGCCAGAATGGCAGGTCGTGAAGAACTTCTTTCGGGAGGGTAGCCAAGGAGGCCCTTCCATGCGGTCCCAGTCGAAAGTCTACTATTCCACATTGGCGGTGGCCGAAGGATGATCCGGGGGCTCGTTGTCGGAGTCTGTGATGGCACAACTTTCCAAACCCGATCCGGCCGGGAGGGCGGTAGCGGCCTCGGGAGCGGTGATCCCTGCAGCTCCTCGAAATGGCTGCATAGCCGTGCCGCCCTGTGCTAGCAGCTCTCTCTGAGCGGCTCGCTTCGTCTCCAACTTGTCCGCAATGGTACCATGTACAGGTGTTGAGTGGTGCACCCCCTCGGGCAACTTCTTGATAGGCTGCCGGGGCGAAGCCTTGTCTGGCCGGGGCTTCTCGGGGCCCGTAGAATCCACATTGCCATCGCCAGGGACCCCAGCAGAGCTCTCCATCTCCGGCTTGGGAAGGGAGGCTTGTCCTGGTGAGGTCATGTAGGGATCCGTAGTGCGCGACAGGCCTGGAGGAGTTCCCGTCGGATGGGCAACAGCTGGGGGAGTCAAGGAAGCATGCGGCATCGCCCGCCTTGGTGGGGTCTGAAAGATCTCGTCCGCCTCCCTTTGGCCGAATGCATCTATGTCCATGGCGCCCGACGCCTCCATCCCAAGAGCTCGCCGGAGAATGGACTGTGAGTTGTCCGTCTCCTGTTGCTCCGATCTCCACTGCTGCAGCATTTGACCCCATTCGCGGGAGTCGCCGGCCGCTGCTGGCATTCGGGGCGCTGGTGCATGGCCACGAGCGACTGCTTCCCAAGACTGTCGCAGATGGGCTCTTGCCTGTTCCTGCTGCTGTAGAGCCGCCTGCAAGTCCGCGGTCACCTTGTCCGTGTCTCTTTGATGGTGTTGGAACTCTCGCATGAAGGCACGTTTCAAATCTTCCACATATCGGTTCCAGAGAGCAGTCTTCTGTGCTCTGGTTGCTGCCAAACTGCGGACTCTCTGCTCGGATTTCCTGGTGGCGTTTATGGCTTCTTGCAAGAATTGTGTCATGACGGCCTCCGGGTCCGCCGCCGCCACCTCGTCTGCATCCAGCAGGGCATATTTGCCCTTCGCAGTCCCCTTGCCTGGGGCAGCACTCGCTGCCTTGGCCACAGCTTGTGCCCGATGCTTGTCGTCGTATGCAGGGAAGAAGTACTCGCTCCTGAGTTGCTTGCCTGGGCCCTTGGGCGGACTCCAAGCTCCAGGCCAAAATTGCCAGGACTGGTCCTGCGAGGAGGAATATCCTTGGTACTCTCCCCATTGCTGTTCTTCCCACTGCTGGTTCCTGTTGTTTCGCTTGCCCATGCGCTCCAAACGAAGTCGTAGAGGCTGGGTAGTGGCGTGATGGTCCAGGAGAAGTCCTCTCTGGTACCTTGTAGGAGGCCTGAGTTGGCGCAAAGCCCTTCGGCCCTTGGATCTTTGCCGGCGCACGCGGCGATGCCAGTTTGGCGAAGGCACGTGTCGCGGAATGGCAGAGAGCAAAAAGCGAACTAAAGGGCACTATTGGCCCAGTTCTGGGGCTGGATTTTCCGCAGCTTCTTGCGGCTATTCGAGCCCTGCAAAAATCAACTAATTGACTTTCATACCAGTTACGGCCCCGAGTCGCTTGTTGACCCACTTGAACACTAGAGACTAGAGAGGAAGAAGGTAGGTAAACGACAACCCTCGCAAGCTAGCTCCAAGAGCTAGCTTTCGTGAATATCCTGTCTGCAACAGGTTCTCAGGCTGCCAAGCTTCTGGTCAGACACGAGGATCCATCGGTCGTCTTCAAAGCGACCCCAGCAAGTCTCCGCCAGGACCTGCACAGGCATTTCAATGGGCGCCTGGAAAATGGCGCGGCTGAAGCTTTGCTTTTTCTCTTTGTAGCCATGCCGCCTCGTTGATGACCACTTCAACCGACTTGCCTGCGGTCTTGTCCCTCATCACTAGCGTCTTGTTCCTAAGCCGAACCGACGATCGCAACGATATGCTTCGCTAATTCCGCAAAGAACATGCTGTGCAGGATCTTGCAGCCTGGATCTTGATCCGGCCCCCCCAGATAGACTACTCACCTTTGCCACTCATGCAGGAAAGTCTCACGTCGAAGTTGATCGTCAGATGACGCGGACTGCGATGGCACTCTTCAGACTGATCCCGAGGCGAGAGTAAAGCGCAATCTTGATACACCCAACCTTACATCCAGGCAGTGCCTGACCTTTTGAGAGGGAGGCGGTGCCCCATGCCTTCGATACCATTGCGACCAGGTGGCTAACAAACTCGTCAAAATCGATGGAACTTTTGTCGCTCCAACGGGCCAGAATAGTGTCGACATCTGATGTGTCCCAAATACCCAGGTTGTGATCGCCCAAAGTCACAAGAAGCTCCCTGACATCTACGCACTCAAGCAGCCATTTGGGAATTTCTGTGGCAGTGCCGGGGCGTAATTACTTAAATACTCAGGACCCAGACATTTGCAGAACACAGCAAGCAACCTTCGGCATTTCTACCTGGCGTTGCCCCGTGTACGTGTCAGGTGCCGCAGATACAAGCGCGGGCCGTTGGTATTGCGTGAATGTATGTGCGCGAATTGAGATCTGTGACTTGGCGGTATTTTGATCTCAGATTTCGGCTGCTATTTTACAGCGCCTCGCACCCTGCGTTTGAATGAGAAGTACATGGAGTCTCCCTGCCTCAAAGTGGAAGGGCTTACCTTCCCGTCTCCTCCGCAATGGTTGTGAAAAATGTCGCTGATCAGCTTCATGGCACGGACTTGGACTTCAGCTCAAAAATGCTAAAAGCGTGGTGCGTCTGAAGATCACATGCCGGCTTTGGGCCGTCCCCACAGTCACACACACACACAGACACACCCAGATCCCAGTTAATGTGTGGATGTGAAGACTGCGCCACCTGCATCTAGTAATCCTAGCTCAGGTTGCCTGGAGCCGAATGCTGCCATGCGCGTGAGTTCTGAAAAAAACGCAATGCTTCAGGAGTTGCCATGCCTAGGGTAATCATGATCTGAGGCTGAAGATGTCAGGAACCAAAGCCCAAGTGCAGGACGGTTTGCTGCGAGACATCGATGTCGTTGGCCCTTTGGTCCAAGAAGGTCCAAGAAAGAGCACCTCGAGACTGTGCACAGGTTTGGCTCTGCCTGAGGCATGAAAAGCTGCCGGGATAGCTTGTGGCTTGTGCAACCAAGCCGCCCGCACCCCCGGCATTGCAGCACCATGTAACCCTCAGCCACCAGCAGCCTGTGCTGATAGCGTTCCCTCTTCTGGCTATGAAATGCTCGTACGGAGGACGAGACACATACGTCGTCTCCGAACCAGTGCTGTATAGACATGCGAGGCGAACTGCGACATCTACATTGTTCTGTTTCCCTCTCCCTGGGCGAACATGGACTTGGCAGTTTGTCCTGCATCTCTTCCTTGCAGCATTGCATGATCAATGTATCTGAGCTCTTTTCGTTTCGCTTTCGCATGTTCTCCGGGTGGTTTCGGCCCGTCCTTGCATAACAAAATCTGATCCAGGTCCATGTGTACCAGTCGGTCCGTAAAGGCTGCAGACAGCTATGGTCCAGTAAACCGGATTCTTGACGGCGGCTTCGGGGTAAGACATAGATCGGATTTCCAGCCTTCCAGCCCCTCGGAGACTGATGCGGAGGCTTATGCTGCACCGAAGCTCACGAACCCCGACACGGCTGGTCCCGGCCCAAATGGGAGGGAGCCCCCATCGTTGAGGATATCTTTGTGCGATTTTGTATGCCGCACCGCCGAATGAGCCTCGAACATCTCTCCTCGTCTTGCATGAACAAAGCCTGGTGCGTTGGCTCTTCCAACATGCTACTGCAGACTTCGTCAGCCCAGGCAAGATGTCTTGGGATGTCTGTGATTAACCACCTGCAAAACCGTTGGCACGAATGGCGGCCCAGTTAGCGATTGTAGCTGTCTGCAACTTTGACACTCCTAGGCCTTCCAGAGCTATTTCATTCCCGGATTGTTGCTTGGGGTAACCTTCACCCAATCGCCTCCTTGAGCAATGAGTGTTCATGCTTCTGCTTCTAGCACTTGACGAACATCTCCATTTTACATGCAAGACACCAAATTGCCAAGTGACAGCTGGGAATTGGAATTCGCCAATTCATGCCATGTGGAGGGCATGATGGTCCGAGAACTCGTGCATTCGTGGATGCATCAGCAGGATAGAACCGTCGTTCCCAATCACGCCCCTGCGCAACCTGGCATGTACAAGCAGCAAACATTACGTTTGCATTGGCTAGACTCACGAGAAAACATATGTCTACCTCACACATCGGCCTGCAGTTCCACCGAACCAAGACCTTGAACAGGAATGCGGCCTCCGTGTATTTGATCCTTGCCTGGGTGCACGGCATGTAATAGCTACCATCAATCAAAACAAACAGACATAAACAAGACATCCACATGTATGTATGTATGCATGCATGCATGTTTGTTGTATCGTGCCGCATGGTGCGGCGTGGTATGGTATGGCATGGTAGGAATGTATGTAAGTATGTATGTATGTATGTATGTATGTATGTATGTACGCATGTATGTATTTAGGTATGTACACAACGTGTGACTTATGTACGGGTATGTAGGCGTGGAGGTGCGTATGTATGTACATTAAGCTGAATGCAGGTACATACGTATGCATGCATGCATACAGACATACATACGTACATACATTTTTAGCTACATACATACATACATACATTCATTCATACATACATATATATATATATGTGTATATGTATATGTATATGTATATGTAGATGTAGATGTAGATGTATGTATGTATGTATGTATGCACATACAAACAGATGAGCATTTACAGCAGGTAGATAGACAGCTGAGTTAGGCAGGTGGTAGGTCGGTCGGTAGATGTGTCTATGTAAATATATGTATGCAAAATCTTCTTCTATGTACGCATCCTTACTTATGTATACAGTGACGTAAATTCATCAATTCACCATTCATACATGTTCATACACATGCTCTGCCACCTCTGTGTCTATTGACTACGTAGCAGCATATAGACGGAACAATTCGGCAAAAGCACGCACGTCTTCCCCATGTGGGGCATCTCGCTGTCCACCGAAAGCTGCAACTGCCTGTCTGCGCGGCCTCGTTCGCGGCCGCAGCTCCAGAAAGTCTTGCCAATCATTCCAGGAGCCTCGAAACACACACATCATGAGTGGGTAGTCTACACGAGAAGTGGATGAAGCTTCATTGTACACCGTAAGTCAGCAGGAACAATTCAACAGTTCATCAACGTGGCCCACAAGGAAAAACGTCGCTGTGGCGGACTTACGGCTGACCACTGGACGTCCCAAGGGCTTTCCAGAATGATCGACAAATTGCCACCTCAGATCTGATGCGCCACATGCTGTTGCTCTGCCCGGCCGACGCCGGATGACTGCTGCCTACAATATCCTACAATCATAACTTGGACTTGAAGGCTCTTCAGACCCCAGTGGCTTGACATCGCGCTGCCCCAAAGGATCCCACAAAACCTTCGAAACGTGTGATGCAGTTTACGCGGACCTCTACACATGCGTGTGCTTCAACTGAGCACTCTCGCATGAAGATCACGACAGCGACAGGGTATCTCAGCTCGCCAGTTGGCTCCGTGACGTTCTTCCGGGCCTGCAATCGACTGGCCTGATGCACAGTTCGCTCTCATCTCGTTTCTGCCTATGCATCTGTTGCGTGCCATGCTGTCGCTGACTGTGGCCTCCGTCTACCGGGAAGAAGCGCCGTGCCCAGCTTTTGTTTTCCACGATCTGAAATTCCTCCACACCAGGCGCCTTCCGAACCGGTATGGTCCTGAGATGAGGCAGACAAGAGTGACAAGAATCCTCCGTCCCTTTGGGTAGCGCTATAATGGGCCGTCCAGATTGCTTCGCCGCATAACCGCAACTGCGCCGTCGTTGAAAGCATATGCATTCAAAGCTTCGCACCATAAAGACCAGTGGCCTGCGCAAGTGCTCCTATTTCGATGGGCCTTGATACCTGGAATGCAAAGATGCAGCTGAATTTCATCTGCGGGTATCTCAGATTTAGCCAGTGCCAACTAGTGCCAACAGTACGCGCATCACAGGAAACAGTGACAGCAAACCCCGAAAGTTTCCACCTGACACGTCCTCCAGGTACCACTTATGATGGAATGCTTTCAAAGCTTACTATTACATCTACTTTGGTACATGTCTCTTGACTCTAGCAGCGGAGGAGCTTCGCCTAAAAGACCACCCTCCCCTGCCGCAATGAAAAGGCCTCGTCCAAACACAGCAAGTGAAACTCGGCCCAATCGTCCCAAGAGCCCACGGCGTAGTAGGAGATCGGCATGCGGCGTCATGCTGCTATTCCGGTGGAGCCTCGTTCAGGCCCTGCCGTGGCTCGACCCTAACATGCGGGACCGACTGCAAATTGCGTGCCATTTTCTGCTGTGTTACTGCTTTCTGAAAACCTTTTTACCGGGCTCGTCAAGATACTGTGATTCACCATGCAGGCCCTATGATGTCTAGCCGACTAGTAGCAAGTACATTGACAATCCAATGACTCCGAGCATGTGCATAGTGAGAGCGGTCCGGGAATGATCCAGCAATGTTTCGGGATCAGGCAATGCCAAAATAGCAATATTCACCGGGGGCAGCAGAGCAACCTGCTTGCCAACGGCCAGCTTTCGAATCATTTCTGTTCTGACCTCGGTCGGGCACACACTGGGTGACACTGTGCGACTCTATCAAGCTGCTGCTCTCTGGTGTGCTTCCGGGGTGCCTGGAAGGCCTCAGCTTCTCCATAAAGAAAATGCTCTGCCTCATCTTCTGCTTGCCTTCGCCTAAGTCGGAAATACAAAGATTCCTTTCATGCACCTGTCGCTTTCCTGCCACCGGGAATTGCGAGCAAGCCCGCTGCTCGGTCGAAAGTTGATCTTGCTCCTGTCAAAAAATCCACCAAGGTGTCGAAGTCACATTGCGTTGCCCTTTCTGGCAAGCGCATGACAAACGAACTGCTCAAGCCACTGAAGCCACAGACTTGATGCCGGGGCCAGTTGCCCGTAACAGTTGAGACCAATGGTTGGGTAGGATCGGAGGCAGGGGCAGTGTCCAAATCTTGCGCTCAAGATTTTGGCAGATTGCAAAAGCCTCCTCCAAACATGCAGCGGCTGTCAACAGGGGTTCCCAGTCGAGTCATGAAGGACCACTCGTAGGCTCTGTGCTGAGCATTCATTTAGGAGGGAGCCTGAATTGTAACATCCAAGCTGGGATGGAGCAACACAGAGTTTTCATATAAGGGAACTCTAGGACAGAATGCTGAACGCAGTATGCAATAAGCAGTCGTAGAGTGTCGCACCAGTCTTTCATGGCGTCGTGAATCCACAGCTTGTAACAGTGTTGTGCGTGCCTGCGTGTGGGCGCGCACGCGCCCGAAGGTCGTGTTGCGGTTCGCTCCGTGCGCGCACGCAAAGCGATGCGCGGAGCGGGCGGGCGCAAGCGTGCAATGCCCCGTGCGACAGGCTTCAATGTCAAGGAGTCCGCAGCCACATCCATGAACTGCCGGGCCTGCTCCGCGAGGTGTACTTGATCGTACAAGTCACCAATCTGGACCGCCGCCTCCCTTAAGCGGCCTCAGCCGGAAAGTGCAACTTACAGGCTCTTTCGGTGACAAGTTTGTGACTATTCTGTTCTGTCAGAGTCAGAAGCTTTGCTTCCAACCCATTTCCTCCTTGTAAAGCCGGATAGCACGAGCAGTGTCAACTCATGGCTAACATGACCCGCCCAGCCCAGTGCAGCCAAACGAAACACTGCAGCTTGCAGGCATGGACATCCATCCCGGCTTTTGCAGAGTTGCTCCGAAGCTCCTCGTTCTGCTGTTGCCGCAGCTCCAACTGTTCTCGAAGCTCCTGGCCCGCCCCCCGTTGCCACTGGTTTGGATGGCTGATTGCAGGTCACTGGGTCGGGTGACTTTGTCGGGTCTGAAGTTGTGGCCCAGTTCAGCAGGGCGGAAGCACAACAACTCGTGCGGTGTTCTCCTTTTCTCTTCTCGCAGCCTCGAGCTGCCGCGCGGGGGCTGTTCGAAGACTTCCGGTTTTGTCAGCAAAACGCGCGTTTTGGTAAGATGCATCTGCATACTGCTATATACTGCTTCAGTTGCGCTGCCTTACACAGTAATGTCGTGGCCACATTCGTGAACACTTTGACCGGAATCCCTTTAAAGCGTAAATTACACAACAGGTGTCGGTGCACATGGACCTTCGAACGACGGCAGTACTTGGGATTCAAGCCCTGCCCCAAGACCTTAAGCCTTAGACATTTTTTGCGCACCTTCCCTACGACGATGCTTCTGAGAATTCCTGACGCATGCTCATCCTTCAAGCTCACTGGACGTCCAGCATGGCAACAAGTCGAATCTGACGCTCAGCGTGACCGGACCTGGATGTCTTTCTGCAACTTGTCTGCCTCGGGTCCATGTGCCATCTTTGCAGTGCTTCACATGGCAGCCTGGCAGGATCTTGGATGGGCAACCTAAGCCAGGAGCGTGTGGATAGAGCCTGCGGCAAGCACAAGGTAACCCGGACTTAATTCTTCGCTTCTGCCGGTGTTGCCTGATCATTTCTGCTTTCGCATTGCCGATGGAGACTCGTTTGTCGCAACGGGCTAAAACTGCAGCAGGTTAGTTTTATTGAGTGTTGCCAGTGTGACTTAGCAGCTTCTCCGCCTAGAATGCCTAGAATCCTAGAACTGTTCTTGTGCGCTCGGTGCTGCTTGTACAAACTTCTCGGGTCAATTCGCTCCACCTCATCTGCTTTGGCTGCCATGCTGTCGTCTGCAAAGGTTAGGCATGGTGTTGCGTTCACAGAAATGGGATACTTGAACCAGACTTGAACTGGTTTCTCTAAACGTCTAAAGCGGCCCAATCTTGCATGCAATGCAGTGATATGCAGTGCATGCCGCTCACGCCCTGAGCAGTACGCGCACTGCTTTGCCCAGCATCACCGATGGACGTTAACTGATGCCTGTACAAGATGCACCAGCAGGTAACTCGATAATTCATGCACGTCAGTCGCACAAGCCAAGCCATGCAATCGGAAGCATCTGCAAAGCTGTATACGCTGGGATGCCGCTGAGTGAGGCTTTTTTTGCAAAGGCTTTGAGGGCCTTTCTCAGATGCCTGCCGGCAAATCATCCAGCAGTGCTACGTGATGGGCCCTCACACTTCCGGATGTAGCAGGTCGAGCTGTTGTTGCCGGTAAACCTGAGTCGCTCGATGGCAGAAATCCCTGCGCTCAGACAGCCCTGGTCATGCTGTTTCGGTGTAGGATCTGCACATCGTAGGCACGTCGGAGCAGCAAGTCATCCTTCCATGAGGCTTCGGATGCTTCCCTTGTGGGGGACAGCAGACAAGCCGACAAGCCTGTCCAACACAGAAGGACAGTCTTGTTGCAAAAAATGGTATTGCTTGCTCTCCGCACATGAAATTATTTCCAAAGAAGATGTGCTGATTGAGTCTTGATTGGTCGGTCTCGTTCCTTCTTATTACTAAGACCATGTCGTTAATCGAGTGCTCCTCCAGACCAGCAGCAGCTCTGTAGTTCGCATGCTGGCCTCGAGGCAACACATCAACGCTCCGCTGCATTTTCGCCACATCTTGTGATTTCTGGAGGTGCCTTGCGCTGAGGCAGCGCAAGATGCCTGAAACGCAGGCACACCAATGCTTAGTTGGTAAGCTTGGGTTCGAGCCGGGCGTGCGTACGCTATCGTGCATCTGCTACTGCCACTTCTCCACATACTCGAGGCCACACCCCGGCTATCCCCGGCTCGTGGTAGCATTGCCAAGGCTACTCTTGGGCTACAGAAGCATGAGATTATGTGAGAAGGGTGGCGAATCTTCCGCCGTACAGGTGGGAAGTTCATTTAACACTGTCACCAAAGTGGGGTACCTTGCAATGTTGAGGTCGTGAACAACATCGCTTTGCCAGCTACCTAGTAGGATGGCATGCTGTGGTGTGACACTGTTGCAGTGTGCCACGTGTGGAAATCCTTCTGCTTGAAGGTCTTCGTCAGCCTGCAATGGCCCTGGCTGCGTGCCCTTCGGGAGGAAAGCGGAGCCACTATTGTGCAATCAATTGCTGGACGCAACGAACCCCGAAAACAGTTGTTCTCCTCTAGGCTTGCCAGTGCCACTTGACATGAACATCCAGTGGCACGTCCCACCTTGACGGGCCCGACCGAGGGCGGATAAGGCGTTGCCTGGCATCACTTTCGAAAAGTTGGCAAGCCTGGACTGGTAGGCTCAAGGCACCTGACCAGGCATTTAGTGGGAGTACGTTCGCAATAGAACTCTCAGAGCCAGGCCATTGATCTGACAGGCCTGATGAATCACCAGTCTCGGGGCAAAGTCTTCGTGGACACCACCACATTACAAGTACGGTGGCTGTGGAGCCTATCCACATGTCATGTTTGCCGGCACATGTGAAGAGCCTCCACCCGCTTTGGGCTTGGACATGCGTAGCATCTCGCTGCGGGCCTGGCATGCTTGTGGCCACCCCTGCATCGCAGCTTTGCTCACTGACATCAGGCCAAGGCTTGTTTGCAGCAACTTCGGTAGATGCGGGGGCAGCATCGGAAGTTCTGAAGGGTGCGAAGAACCTCCCGCTGGAAAAATGAGAGCAGTCAAGCTGGAGGCCGAATCTATGCCCCACGAGACCTGCAGGCCAGTCTGCTGGCAGCTGTGCAACCTCGACATACCATGCAAGTCTCAAGGGTATACCGTGTCCTGCCCCGTGAGAACCAAGTTCCAAACCAATTCAAACCGTGAACGCGCAGCAGGGACAGCTGACGACGCCGCCCTCGAGTGCAGACTTTCGGATTCGCACTCCACCGACACGAAGTCAGGAATCAAAGGGACAGACAGAGAGACAATAGTGTGCAAGCTGCCAATTTTCTGCAGCCGGCAAAAGTCTTTGCTTCTCCACGGGGCGGGCAAATTAATGCCTGACTTTCCGGATTTCACCAGGCATACTGAAAGCTTGGGCCAGCACGCTTGGCGCGTTGCTGAGTCCGCCGGCAACTGGCAAAACAGTGGAACGGGTGGCAGTGTGGCTTTGTCATGCTCTCTCTTAAGGATGCGGCAGTTCTCGAGGGTAAAGGTCCGGATCCTGCCTGTGCAAGTGAGGCGCGTGACAGCCTAACGTCGGGACCCATGGGCGGCTTGCTCGAGCCTCTGGATTGACACTGGCTGGTAGACCTGCAAGCACAAATCGAACTCCGTGGTCCTGAGTCCTGATACTCGCAGTGCAGCCCGTCGGCTGGCCTTGCAAGGCAGCTCCAGGCTTGGCTTCAGTGGGTTGGCGAGGGTCCTGCGCACATAAAGGCATCGACAAATCAGGCATTGCAAGCAAGTGCTCCCATTAAGAAATAGGTTCTGACAGCCGACCTCCGTCGAATACTCCAGCGGCAAGCCCGCTTGGGCAGATGCCCCCTCCTCATCTGCACCTTGTCGATTCCTCGCAAACAATCTTGTTGGCCGCTGATGCTCGAGTGGTCTGAGGTCGCGGCGAGGGCAGCATTGGCTCCGCAAGCGTGCTCGGCTGCTCTTCACTTTTGGCGATTGCGGTGTCTTCAGCGGTGTCTTCTGCTTCGGTCTGCACTGCTGCAGCAACTGCTGAGAACTCTGGAACCTGGCACGAGGGCATGCACCCATGACTCTCTTCAGGTACAAGGCAGTTAACTAATGATTTAGTTCATTGGCTCTTGAACGTTGCGAAACGGTCTACCAGCCAATGCCCACGCCTAAATACAACTAAGCCATGACTAAATTCTCGGCAAGAGCTGCCATAAACGAAATAGTCATGTAAGCGATTAGCTGCCTCTCAAGGCCCCGTTCTCCCAATACCAGGGCCTGACTTTTATGCTTGCGAAAGCCTGATGTTTTGGCTTCTACCCGACGTGATTCAGGCTGAGGGCTCCTCGCTAGTAGGACGAAGCCTGACAGGCTGGGTGTGCGGTTCAACCGCTTTGCGCGAAAGGATGCGTCCCTGGGCGACCGTGTGAAAGTCTCCCCAGCTTTCAACCTTCTCGCTTGGGTCAGTTATGATCCGCTGCAAAGGTTCAGGATACAAAAGCAACAACGTGACAGTAAACTTCTTTCAAAAACAATACCTAGTACTCAATACACAAATACTTCGTTTGAACCTGACAGGTTTCAACTCAGTTGCTGTTTGATTTGTCAAGGGGCATGCCTTACCAAGCTTGTGCATCATCAGTTGGTTCGGGATTCTGGTGGGAAGCTCCATTTGAGATTAAGCTAGAGTTGGAGTATGCATCAGCTGGGATCCCAAACTATGCTAAGCCTTGAGCGAGGCTTTAACAATCCAGCTCTTCAATATTCACCTTCGGAACTGATAGGGTTCCAACTCAACTGCTTAAACTGCCAGTAACTGCTAGTATTCTGTAACTCGGACACCGTAGCAAGCCAAGCCTCAAGCTAGGACACTGCACCAAGCAACTCAATCACGAGCTAGCTGGGATCCCGGTAGAGAAGTCGCACAGGATTCGAACAATTTTCTGCAAGCACGCCAGCTAATAGAGTTCAATGGTGCTGGAGGAAGACGGCGTCTGCACGAACCAGCAAACATCAGGCGTTTTTGCTGTTGTTTGACACATGCATCAGCCAAACAACTACAGCTGGAGTGAATTGCGTCTTATGACGGCTCAAAGTCTGTGAAACCCAATCCATCGAATCGAGACTTGGATTCATTCGCTTCGTCTCCTCTACACTCAGAAGCCCTGCCTGCACCGCGGTTTCCAAGGTCCGAGACTGTTGAACGAGACCATCCGCTTCCTGCCCAGGTGGAGCCGGATCTGCGCACGCAATTTGCCCAGCCGCCAGCTGATCAATTCCCATGGAACACACTGGAATCTCTCACTGGAGGCGAAGTCCCAGGGTCCAAAGCCTTGCTATAGCCTCCGGTATGACACAACATCAAAGCATACGTTAACAAAAAACATGGGAAACGCACCGGTACCGAACTCGCAAGGATCTTCGTAAACTGGCTCTTTGGCTTCTTGGATGGGGTGCAGGTCTTTCTATTTGTCGGTAGGCCTAAAGGCCCTTTGCCTACGCCAAGCGATGCTTCAGGAGATGAACCACTGAGCCGCTCTATGGAACACAGTCAACCCGTCCGTACTTCCAGCAGCCTTTCCTAGGCGTACTTACGACGGGCTTTGGCTCCGGCTTGGCTTGGCCTCACTACCCACTTATCACAGTCGCGTTCGTGACATTGACAGCATCGCTCCCAAGCAAAGCTTCCCAGTCCCTAATTTGCACGGATCCTCCTCGAACCTTTCCTCTTTTGGCTGCGGCCTGTCAGCTATACATGGGCCTTCTCCTGTTCGTGCACAACATGCACAAGCAGCCATGCCTGTTCTCGATGGCATCGCGAACCGGCTCTGCTTCCACCTGCAGGATCCGGACTCGGTTGGAATCCTAAGGATCAGATGCCCTTGGAACGCTTGGCAATCTTGTCAGTCCGTTTTCTTGCCCCGTGAAACTGCGCAGTGCCCGCAGACAGCACATCTGCGGATTGCGGTCACACTCGCCTCTACCCAGAACCCGGCTGAATTACATGCGCGCGCAGCTAGAAGCAGTGTCTTTTACCGGATAGATATCATGGCGAGAAGGGAAAGACCGTCCAGTCTGCCTCAGCATGTGGGGCAAACGATCTGCTGAGGCACATGGCTGCTCTATGCTGTTCTACAAACTTCACGAAAAACGTCACATGCGCAGCAGCCGAGCAGCTGTCATTAAGTGTCTTGGCGAGGGTTGGACATGGTCGGCGGCGCGCCGTCTTTCCCAAGTCACCGGTGATTTCTCTTCTTTAGGTCGACCTGAAGCAGACTTCAGACCGACACAGCGACCAAGTGCATGGAAGCGTCCAGCCGAGCAGCGCGGAGGAGTTTGCATCATGGGAGCAGGAGACTTCCACAAGGCCGTGGACACCGAAGTTGAGCTCTTCAGCTTCTTTTCGGGTGTGCGCTGCTCGGGTATGCACTTCTTCCTCTCCTGTTGGCTTCCAGAGTTATCCTTAGCTCAAGCTTTTTGCTTGCACCACGTCTCACGAACAAGCTCAAGTTTCGACGTCTACGAAGCCAAGCTGTGTGTCGTAAGCCTCAACTTTTCCATGACACGAAGCTTCACCCCTAAGTGAACCTCATGAGTGCATGCGTACATGCGTTTCCTGACACATACATTACCAAGAAGAAGCCTACCGTTCATCGTCGGCGGGCCGAGTGGTTTGGGATGCCAACCTGCAAAGCTCCTAACTGCATGCAAGAATCGGTGGGCCGACGCTCACTGAAAGGTCTGGCAACACTGCTGGGTGCTAAGTAGTCTGCTTGCGCCGGCATGCCGTGCCGGCGCTTCTCCACCACGGAGGTTGTCATTTCGCTTCGCATCTTTTGCTTCTTCATGCTCGCCTCACTGGCCTTCAAAGTGCTGACTCGGGAACGGAAAGCTACGAAGCACAGCTGAGAGCACACTGCAAAAATCTGGTCCTGAATGAGGTCCTGAAGCGTCGGCTCTTTTTGGCTGATGGGAGTTACCGGAGCCGATGATGCCACGCTAAGCTTCCTCTTCAAGCCAGACTGAGAACTTATGCCCAGCAGTTGCCGGGCCCTGTGCTCATCCTTGGCGTCCACTTCAATCGCACAGTAGTACATCATGACCTGCCATGAGATCCATGAGGAGTCGAGCTGGAAACAGGAAACAATTGAACACTTTCACCAGCTCTGTTCTCACTCTCTGGACCCTTTCAAGCCTCGCCCAGCGTGGAAATGCTAATGTCGCGCACATAGAGAGGCAGCAACTGCTCTTCCACAAACTTGCCGAAGGATGGGAACAAGAGCTCGCTCTCCCGTCCGGCCATTTGCTGGTCCATTGAACTCACATACTCCGCTCTCAGCTGGTCCATTGGATCCTGCAACGCGCTGAGGAAATGGCCTGCCCGCACTAAGGCGACTTGCCTTAGCCGTGCGCATTCCTCGATGCTCATGGTGTTCGGGGCCTGAGAGTCCGTGGCCGACGTGGCCTCTTGGCCGTCATCTAGGACCAATTGCGTTGAGACCCCTCCTTTCTCTTTCTCCGAGGCTGGCCGGGGGATCTCCTCTTGTGTAGGCACAGCTTCCGGAACTTGGTCGCTCAGGGGCGAGCTTTGAGGCTCTGGAATTTGACTCCGTCTACGCCTTTCTAAGTAGACGAGCCGTGCTACATCCAGAGACAGAGCAGCCTGCGAGCAAAGCTCGCGAATGTACTCCCACCTTGGACAGCCTTCTGGAGGCAAGGCGGGTGGACTATCGCCAAATCTGGAGAGGGATTGCAACCCCTCCAAAAGCTTGATGCAGGCAGGAATGTCGAGGTGTGAGTGATCCTTTCTGAAAGTCAACTGTCCGCGACCACACGAAGCACCATAGCCGCCCTTCTCCCCTGTTCTTAAGGATTCGAAAAACAGCGGGAGAGCTGCGGAGAAAGCAAGGTGCATCTCATCATTTTGCCGCATGTGCATGGTGTAAGCCTCTTGAAAGGCCTCCCGCGCCCTCTTCTGTGTGCCGCCGTCTCGAAGAATGTTGGCAGCTTCTAGCAGCCGTTGCATCATTACACCTTCGCCCCATTCCAGCGGCAACCATGCGGGGCAGCGAGCACCAGACTCTTCAGGTGGAGGCTGCGAGGCTACCACAGCCATCATCCTAGCTTGCCTGACACCTGAAAATGGCCGCAGTGGGCCAGGGAGAATGCAGCGCATCCCACCGAAGCACCTCACCGTGCATTCAGACATTCAAGTGAGCACCGACGATGCCTGCTGGGACAGAGCTGCGCCAGTGCCTGCTTCACTACACTTCTTGCAATGGTTCGGGCCTTTAGATACCAGGCTGTGACCAGGCACCACAGAACTTGAATCTTGGCATGGAGCCCTGGCGCCAAACCGGAGAAGTCGGGCCATCAGACATTGAGGCAAACCTTGGCTACGTCGGGCCTCTACTCCGAACATTCAGCATCCTGCAAAGCCTGGAAGTAAGGTCAAAGCAATGAACTGCCCGATGACAACAAGCTCATGGCCAAGGAGTTCAGCAATGCCTGGCACGACAGCGTCTCAGCCGAAGCATCCGACACCAGTTTCGTTCTTACAGTAGACCTTTCAGGTTTCGCCTCTCCGCGTTCCGTCACGCCACCTCCTCTCTCTTCTGGTCCTGGGTCCCGGCGTCCACACTAGATCTGGGACCGGTGCCCAGCACACAAGTAAGAGGCTGTGGCGTCTCGGGCTTTCAGCGCTTGGCTCTGGAGACAACGGACTCCTTCCGAGCTCAGGCAAGGAGAAGAGGCATGCGTCTACCGCCTACATCCGCCTACTACTGCACTCTTGGCTTCTGGATTTCGACTGTGGGGGCGATCTGAGTCCATCACGCACTTGCTGTGGGTGCCGCTCCTTGTCAGGACGGCAGACTATAGCTGCGCGGGCACGATGAAACACGGACGGCCTTCGCGCAGTCGTGACACTTCAGCTTCCAAGGCCAGGAGCCGAGCAAGCATCTGCAAACACAACAAAAATGCTCAGAGGGGCGCCTAAACTAGACCGGAACTCCACGGTTTCATACTCCATGTGTGGGTCAATGCTTTCCTGCCTGGTCTTTTGGTTCCAACTCAGCGGTCCCGCCACCTGATGAAATAGCTGCACGGTATATAAAACTTACTCAAGCAACCCGCCTGTTTCTGCGTCAGCGGTTTGGTGGTCTGGCTGAATCCATGCCGCTTCGTCCTGCAACCGCTCGGGTCTTTTATGAAGTTATATACCGCAAGAATGGCTCATGCGGCGCGCAGAAGCTCAAACGGCAGTCTTCTGTAGTCATCTACGCACATGTTTTCGGAATGCGCAGCAGAGGCTTGTAAGTCGCTGCATTGGCTCTGTCATAGCCGAAGAAAGAGCCTTCTACGGTGAGACACAGTGTTCGATTGTGCAAGAAATGCACGTTTGGAGCACCTATTGCAAGTCTCACAAGCACTGGCAAGCTCCAAACTTGTCTGAAATCAAGGATGAAAGAAAAATGTCTGAGCTCTGCTACAGCTCGACTTCGAATCTGATTCCGTCAGTCCACTAACCCCCTCTTTGGGAAGTTAGGCAGTCTAGCTGCTGTTCATCGCGTCACATCAGGCTCATGCTGAAACTCTTGCTCATGCAGCCAGCTGTTTGCCTCGCTCTTTGCGTCACCACTGCCATCAGTTTGAGTCGGAGGGGTTGGCGCCTTGTCAGCATCCACCTAGTCAAGAGCCAGGCTTTATACTAATATGTCAGATTGAGACCTTGTGTCGTGGGCCTTCTCTGTCGGGCTCTGTTGCAGCACAGTGCGCCACATGTGGTAGTGCTTCGCAGTTGGAATGGCATCGTCTGGCACCTAGGCCAAGCTTTCATCTCTCAGTGATTATAAGACATCTGCGCCCTCTGGCAAGGCTAATTGCCAGCTCAAGGTACGAAATCGACAGCCGCCTTGCCATCGTCAGTGACTGCCTCGGGTTGCACTGCTTTGTCAAGTTACCTGCCCGTGGGGGGGTGGGGGGGGGTTTGTCAAATGGGGCAATCCGAATGTATAATATCGAAGGAGATGATAAACTCATTCCGCTCACAAACTTCAGGCATCTGAATGCCGAGAGTCATGTACGTCAGCATTGTACCTCAGGTTGGTTGCTCTCACACCAAACCGTCTCCCACTCTCTGTGTTCCTACATCCGTTATGTACAAACAACTTTTGCAGCGACCCCGCAAGCACCGACAGGCCAGGAGCTGTGAAGGCTCATGCCAAGTGGCTCGATCAGAAGTCTGCAAAGGTCGATTCTGCCAGAAGACGCGGCAAAGTGTAAGGGCCGGGTGCCATCCTGTCGACCGTCGGCTCTAAACGACGACATCGCTGGCTCTAAGCCGCAGATAGCCGCAGCAGGACTGCCTCGTCCTCCGCATTCACGTTTGCCTTGCCGACCTCGCTTCAGCCGCTCGCTACGAATACGTGCTTCAATTCAAGCAACATTATTTTGTCTCGCATTCTGGTGTGCTCTAAGTCCACCACCAACAGCCGAGCACAGCAGGAGGGGTAACCAGACTGAGCCGCATACCTCAGTGGCATGTTAGGTTAGGCATCTGCAAGAGCAGCGGCAGAGCAGTGGCAGCCAGGAATGACGGCGGCATGTTCGATCCATGATTTGCAGCCGAGGTGGCATCAAGGCTGTCATGCCCGGTTGCCGGGCATCTTGCACGGCCTCCGATGGTCCTATATTTTCCTTCTCGCGCTTCATGAAGAACGGTCGCCTGCAGGAACTTCCGGCACCAGTCGCAAACAAGACCTGCTTGGATGTTCTTGCATTTGCGCCTTCGATCAATTGGCAAGCCTTCAGCCAGGAGCTCCGCGATTTCTTCCTGACAAACGCACGGGCTTGACAAGCATGCGCGAAGCGCCGCTCGGCATTTTCGGCTTGTCCTGTCTGCCCTCCTTTGCGGCCACGAGCAACTTGTGCACGTTCATAGCCTGTCGCATGTCGTAGGTGTCATGCTTAACACAACCCCGCTAGGCTGTGAAAATCAACATGCTGAGACATGCTGTCGGCTAGTCTAGCGGTCTAGCGCCTAGCCGCCTACTTGTGCTGCTAACAGTTCTCTCGAGCTTACGATCCCAACGAGGCGACATTGCCCCTACTGCACACTTTCGGCTTGTTCTGGCCTCTGTGCCCGCCAAATCACCATCTGGGTGGCCTCGTGCATAACAGACTCTAACTGCTGACGACATGGAAAACCAGAGACAGCTTTCATCGTGAAACGTCTGGTCTGGTGCCTGCGCACTGTGTCACCGCATAGACGTCAACCTTTGAATTCGGCGATAGATGGTCTTGCAACAATATCTGCTACGACATCAAGTCAAGCAAGCGGCCCCAATGTGCTCCACACATGTGGTTTCACAGCTTCGCCCGCATGAGACAGCCTTCGCTCCTGCCCCGCCCATTGCCGTCGACCCCTGCTATGGCAGTTGCTATGTCTTGTTGCGAGTCTTATGGCCTGCCAGCTACAACTGACATCACGGGACCCTTGAGCCTCTGAGTCGGCATGCAGCAGGCAAGTGCAAAACATCAGTTGCTGGGTGCAGGCCCGGCGTCATACGGCCCGACAACTGCAAATGACTGAAGATAAATGGCCTGAGCTGCATTCTTGTCCCTCTCGTCGGCTGCGGCAGCTTCGTGAGGACCAGAAGTGTTCGCGTCATCATCTCCGTCGTGAGTTTCAGCTTCAGCACCTTCCTTCGATCATTCGAAAATCTGGGGTGGCTTCCACGCAAAGATCCGTACCGTTCGTGAAGACCCAGCCTGCCAGACTTGTGGCTCAGCATCTGCCGCAAGAGCTGCTCGGAGATGCCGAAAATCCTGCAATATTTGGTACGGAGCCAGGATTCAATTCCGCATCAGACGCATGTTTTTCTTCGGGTCTGGGTTCTGATTCTGCACCTGCTTGATTTGCATCCTGCTGAAGAAGCGTGGCCAGGAGCCGTCCGCGTTTCTTATCAGGGAAACGTCATATCGAAGAAACAGAACGATACAGGGGTCAACGGCATCGGGCGACTGTGAAACGCGTTCACTGATGCCAAGCCTCGACAGCCCTTTGGGACGCCTAGAGATCCTGCTGAGCCCGAGCCGCATTCTGTAGTTCTTCTGCCTCGTTTCATGTCCCGGAAAGAAAGACACATGATATGATATGATATGTAGATCGCGGCTGAGGACACATAGACTCAACTGCGGTCTCTCGTCCGGTATTGCTGACTGACAGGTGCTGGAAATTGATGCGTGCTGCTGCCGAACAGGTTATCTTATGAGTGCTGGTGTTGCGTGGAGTGCCTCCTTCATTCAGCGTGCCCAAGCACGCACTTCAAGAGGCAGTAGAACACCGGCTGAAGAACGGTCTATCGCTGCTCCAGCTTCTCCCATTTATCTTCACTCCTGCACAGCAGGCTGGAGTACATAGACTTCACCATGTTCTTAAAGTTTTTCTTGGGAACTCTTCCAATCCGCACCGGGCGGCCAAGCAATCTGGTTTGTCATTCACCCTGCTGTCAGGTGGTTGTCGTGAAGTTGCGTTGAACGGACGGGAGGGGCTTCCAGCGAACTTTCCGTGACACAGGACGAGGCGCTGAAGCTAAAGCGCTCCACATCCAGAGCTGGAGTGCTTGAGAAGAAGCCTTCGTCACAGCTGGGCCTTCGGTAGTTGTCGAGGAAGCGAATCGAGTTCCCAGCGCGACACATGGAATCTTCTCCACCGCTGCTCTGCTTCCGGTCTGGACGACTCAGTCTGGATGCCATACAGGGGGAATGCTCCGCCAAGCGGGAAAGGGTGCAGCGAAAGTGTCCGTTTGCGCCATGGCAGCAAACGCTGGCCTGGGAGAACGGCTGGCCATGTACCCAAACGTTTGCCACTTACGTTTCAGAACAAACCAGACCAGCTCCAGCGGGTCTCGAATCGAAGAGATTGCTACAGCCAATATGTCTCCGGAACACGTACAACGAAACAGCACAACATCTATAGCAAAACCATGCAAAACCACTAGAAGCCCTTGAGCTCGGTGACTGATCACCGCGAGGAAGGGCGGTACGAGATGAATTTGGACCCGCAAGGGTTGGGACATGGCCATCCGCATGGCAACAGGCTTAACAAGGTCAGCATGCTTTGTGTTGATACTTGGCGTGCAGCGCGGGCTTGAAAATTTGGACTGCGTGGGGGTCAAGGTGAACATGTTTTCGTATTGAGTGGGCCTGAGTGGGCTGTGTATGCTGCCTGGTCCAACAAAAGCTACCGAGCTTGATTCTGGTTGCCCTTCTCGGGATTGAGTGGCAGAGGACGCGCATCCTCTGAGCCTTTGGTTGTCCCGATGAGCCAGACGTTTTCCGATCTTTCCTGATTCGAATGAATTCGAAGCGGCCTACTTCATACATATACTGTTGGAACAAAGACAATAAAGCACCGAGCATAAGCGCTCCTCTTCAAGAGCAACCGGTAGCGGGTACAGGTCGGCCTCTGCCGCGATTGGGCTGCCACCTTCGCTGCCTCCTCCTGGAATCTCAGAAGCACGGCCCAGCCATCACAACATCTCGAATCATTGCAAAACCCATCCATGCAGCACACCACCTGGAGTTGGCAGGGAGTCCCAAATTGGACCAACATCCAGACCTCGCCAAGCATGACTTTAACTTCCACCGGTGTGTGACGCTTTGGCGAGGGGATTAGGGTCAATGAGTCTGTCCAGTGCACAAGAACATGCTACGAGTTCTGCGTCGCGATTGGTTCTACTGGCCTAGCTAGGCGGACAGATTTGCTGGCTATCTTCGCCACGTCAGAGCGACCGAACAAGATACTTCTTGCACACACATCATCGCCCTTGTAGATTCGTGCAAGTGCGGCAAGACTAATTTGCGACTCCAAACGAATATCACCAAAGTAGCTTGCCCGTGTCCGAAACAGGCAAACATGGTCAAATCAAGCCTCGCGCCTACTTCCTGCTTGATCTTCCGCAGAAAAGCCTCGCAGACGGAGATAGACTTGCGGGATGCCGTCGCGCAAGGGTGCTTGCTTCTAAGATGCCACTCAAAAGCCTCGTCATCGCTCTCTGATGCTTCACGGCTGGCTCCAACGCCTGTCATGCCACTGGTGCCGCCCTAGCAGAGGTTTGTGATCGCAAACAAGTCGGCAGCTCGCGCTGGCTTTGAATTGGTCATGGTCGCATCGGTGCTCAGGACCTGGGCAACTCCAAGTCAAAGAAGGCTGAATCCAGACTTCGAGACCTCAAACAGCCTTTTCCAATCGCTTAGCGGCTTAGCCATCAAAGAGCAACTGTACTTCTGTTCGCACAAGAAGGCAAACCAACCCACGAACCCTCGGCCACAAGGATACCGCAAAAAATACGAGGCTGGAAGATACATGTAAATTATTCATTGCCTCTAGCCTGTGACACAACGACTAAGCAGAGTCTCTGTCAGTCAGTGGAAGAGACGGTCACAGATGTGCAGCAGCGGTGCAAGCCCACCCCACATACATGAGAGACTCATGCAAAGCCTGGTGCTTCTGTGCAGACGATGCAACCGCAGCCCAAGTTCCATCGGTACATGCATCATTCTCCAACCATTTCCACGCTCTGCTCAAACAAGCATTGTCTTTTCGCCCGTCGCTCGCATCCTGCATCACGGCTGACAAGTCGCGACAAACTTCTTCTAGCAGGAGTTCAGTGCACAGCTCGCTGTGAGTCAACTCGTCGAAATACTTGAGAGCCGTTGATCCGAGAGCATACGGCTTCCAAGTGTCAGCGCAGTCCATGTACGCCGGGCAACAACGGTTGCCAAACCTGCTCGAAGCTGGAGGGACACGATGGATCATGTCCGGCCTGCTAGGAGGCTTTCCTCAACCGTGCGAGCCATGCAACTACAAACAGCTCGTACCTTGGCTTAGGGGTGGAGGCATTTGGAGGCTGCTGGGCCGTGCATCCAAGCCGAGGCACTTTGCACTATCTTCCGCTGGCCACACTTCATCAGCCTTTGATGCTAGCACGTAGAGATCCGTTTCAATGGCTGGGAGCTTTGTACCTTTCCGGCAACTACGAATTCATCTGATCCCAGCAGTGGCTGCCTTCAAGGCGAACAGCTGACAGCACCGCCCGTGCCTGCCAAACTGTCTCCAAGAAGCATGTCCGCCTTCTGCGACGACGAAATGGATTTTAACAGACCATCGTTGGGCCCGTCAGACAACTGAATCAGTCGTTCCTGCAGGCATCCGCATGCGTGCGTTGACACAAGTACTGTCGTGATACAGGACAGGCAAGGAGGAAGAAAGCTCAGCGTCTGTTCGTTTGACATCATCTTCGGTCGCAAAGTTGGCAACGAACCAGCGTATCCAGCCGATCGAATCTAAGGCCCAAATCTCCTGGTCACGTTCATCAAAACACGGTGTGCGCGGGGCACGGTCTTGGTTAACCAATGCAAAGACCCGACCCTGAATCAGAAGCGTAAGGCCTACAGCCTGTTCCGAAAAGCCCGGCCACCCTGCATTCGCCTTCACTCCGGCACTCGAAATGAGCAGGCTCCGAGCTACGAGTGCAGTAACTCGATATGAAGATTCCTTCCCACCCCCTGGACGAATCCTCCTGTGCCGGAGGCCGGAAGCAGACCTTTGGCCCAGCCCTGCCAGCAACATACAACTTCAACGGCTTCCGTCCACGAGAGATCATCTCGAGTGCAAGCGCATAGCCTCGAATAAACTTTCAATTCTTTCCCAAATGGCTTCGCAGTGCAAGGAAAGCCATGGCTAAGGCTCTTGCTGGCTGTAGCACCCACGGAGAAGCCCAACAGTGCGAAGGGGCCAAAGTGCTCGCTGAGGCTCAGCAGTTCTTCAGCGGCCAGCTTCGCTAGTGCCTTCACCGGGGGGTGAGTTGCAGGAAAGGCAGTGTGAACATAATGGGGACTCAAACGCCAACAGGCCTCTGCATTCTCTTGCACCGGCACATGACGATTCACGCCATGGCCCGGCAAAGTAATCAGCAGCAGCTCGATTGAAGGATGCTTCTCCGCCACGTACTGATTCCTTCTTAACACACACACATACATACACATGTTCCTGTACTTTCGCGCACATAACGGACCTTCGGGTTTCTCATGCTTTTTGTCCAAGGCAGGTCACTATTGGACTACTCAGATAGGGGCAGTCGTGCCAGGTCTCCAGTGCGCAAATCCAATCGCGTCGTGCCCGGCACCAAAGAAGCACACGAGCCTAAGCTAAGCGGGCAACTGTAGGCCCGTAGGCATTTAGGCTGTGCCTCCACAGCATGACAGTATCCAAGTCACCTGCATTTGGCTTCCTTCCCGTGCTCGTACTTTGCCAGCCACTTGCTCGCAGACAGGGCTGGCAAAGCGCTCTCATCCGGAAGAGCCTCCACCTCGTCCGCCTTCTCATCTGCCCGTTCCAGGAGAGCTCTGCCCTGCAAGCTGGTGCTCACCCAGCCCTGTGGCGGCCCCACTCCGGAGATGAGCTCGTAGTGCAATCGCTCGCCCTGCATGGAAAGCTCCTTTCAAGGGGCAGACAAGGCCAGGCTTTTGAACCGTGAAAAGCAGTCCTCCATGTTGAACCCCAATACTAATTACTCGAAGCCACGCAAGTCCACGCCAACTCATGAACCGAAAGCTGCGATGATCTCAGCACACCGACAACCCTCAATCAAGCTTCCGTGGGTTTGGGTGGCTTGTGGCACTGTCTCTGGCAGGAAAGGCTGGGTGCTCTGACGCTGACTGGATGTCGCAAAGGTTGGCAAGACACTCCGGTGGACTACAGCGAAAGGATGGAACAGAATGCTTTCAGCGAAGATGATTCCGGTGATTACACGTCCCGGCGGCCCACCATCTTTCAAGCCGAAGCCGATCCTGGACAACTGCACCAGTTTCGAGGCGCTGTGGAAGCTGCTCGGAGCCCACGGCCGAAGTGCATCGAACGATGATGCCTCCTCAGGCCCCGCCCCGCTGAAAGAACCTTCTTGAAGCCTGTCCACCCAAAACCAACTTCCCTCGAAAGAAAAGGCTGTAGCTCGAACCCCCTTCTGCTTGCGAACAAAGAACCTTTTCCAACCCCGCCCACGACCTTCCACCGCATTTTGCCACGGCGATCACCGCCACATCCATGCCGAAGTCAAGCTAGTCTATAGGTTTGTCTTGATCATGATTGCTCCGCAATTTCGAACTGTGTCTCCAAGTGTGTGCGTGCGTGCACTCCGACTGCGCACTGCGTGGTCGTGGATTTGAGTTCGCTTTGACATTAATGAAAAACGTGAAGCAACGGAACATCTGACGCTGGAACCAGTCGTTGATGATCACCTGGCCCCCGACGGTTTGCGTCGCCCGCTGGAAAGCAGCATACCTTAGATTCCACCCGTCGTCGACATGTACCTGGACCTGGATGCGCCTCTACCATCGAAAACTATGGCTTGGCGATGCCATTATTTACGGGATAGCACCTGGAACCATATGGAAGCAGCATAAGCCGAAGCCTGTTCTTTGCCAGCAGCATTGGCTTTGCATCCATCACCACTCAACACGTCCAAGTACTTATCAAAAACAACGTCGACGTACGTCCATCCTGGCTATAAACTCATGTTTCAGGCGTTTATCGGGTCAGGTGGACCGACCGCTTCTGTTAATGCTTCACTTGCTTTGTGCGATTCTGCGCACAGCGAACCTGCACCTTCGGTCGGCCGAGCTCTGGCACAATTCGGTGCTTGCATCCGTGAGTTACATGATTCAGCACCCGTCTGCCTCCTCAACTAAGATAAGCAGCTTTTCTCTCCACTGGTTCAGGATGGCATCCAGCTTCTGGTCAGGCAACAACCTCTGCCGTACATCACGGATGCTTCCAGCCTTCCTGCCTACAGTACCTACCACCTACCCTGCCCCTCCGCCGGTCACTGGTCTGTACATGCCCCACTCGTGCATTCAGATTGTGATGGCTATCCTTGGAGATCGAGAGCCCGACGAATCAGTCCCAAGAGTGCTTGCTCCAGCAGCGTCCGGTGCCATCTCGTCCGCGGGATCGTTTGCCGGAACTGCAAGGTGTTTCAAAGGTGTTTCACACACTTCCAAAATGTCTTCTGAGATGCGCAGCAAAAGTGCGAGGCAATTATTGGAGCGTGTTCGTTCATCGTTCGAGAGGCAGCAGGAGCACCTTTGGCGGCTCCCTGCTGCAGGTCTGCACATCTAAGCGAGCCCGATCTTTGTGGCTCTGCTTTGTTCATCGATTCATGTTACGTAGGTGCCCGATCTCTTCATTGCGAGGAAGGAGAACTTGTTGCCTCGGGCAACATTTGCAAAGAGGCACGTGCTGGGCATTGCTTGGCACTTCCGGAGAGACATGCGAACAGTTTCATCTCGGCTGCCGATCATCTTTGTAACGCCGGACTGCAGCTTGGCAGCAGCCTCCTGTGATGCGAGCTACAGTTCTGCCTGCCTCGCGGAATCACTGGTGTGTTGGCAACGGCTGCACGCTGGGCGACTGCGGAGGAAACAGTTTGACCCACAACATCCTCCTCGATGTGGCCGCCATACAGCTTGTGACCTTGAACTGTCGTGGGTTGAGCTCGTATGCACTGCGGACAGATGCACTACACACTGACTGGCCGACATGTCTGAGCAGCGGGCCCCAAGCAACAACGGATCCGCGCGAAGTCCGAGCAGCGAATGCGTAATCATTCGCACACATGTCCAGGACCTGACACGCGGTACAATTTCTGGTGCGAGGGAAAAAAGGCCGCCTGAGGGCTACGAAAGCCCAAACCGGACAAATTGCTGCCAGTGGGTTCTTTCAGATTTAACTGATGCGCATGCGAAGCTGGGATGCACCGTCTCACTCTTCCAGTACATGCTTAGACAATGCCATATTAGAGCCGGGCAGTCCTTCCCCATCCCTCCGGATTGCAAATCAAGCTCAATGCTGTTGTCTCGCATTTCGGCGGCCTTCTCTTCTCCCAGCTCAAACTCGGCCTGGCAGGCTTGAGGTGAAGGGGCAGCCCGCATCCCGTCCTGAACTCGGCCGGGGTACGGGGGTGGAGTCCCCTCCACAGCTGGGCTCGCCCCAGGCGCAAATGGATCCATCCTGGAGGACCGCGGCAAAGGCCCTGGACGTCTTGTACAAGGCCACGGCTCCACCTTCACTTCGCCATAAGAGTCACAAGCCGAGTACAGCCTGCCTAGCCCGAACAGGCCCGAAGACTGGCGATCGATACCAGAAAGTCCGAAATTGTGTGTTGGTTTGGGCCTGTGTCCCTGCCTGATGTTCTGAGGGGTATCTTTCGGTGCGCTACTGTTCGCAGCTTGTGGGAGCGAGCTCAACAGGGTGGCTGAGGGTCGTTCAGGGGCTGTTGGGGACGATGGCTGCTCTGCGACAAGCAGTTCGATGATATCTGATATCGCAATGGGCTCGCATGCTGCTCTGTAGTCTCTATTTGTTACTTATAGATGACTGCTTCTTTTATTCGACCACGAAAATTGGTAAGGTCGCCAATGCCACTCGCCTGCTTGATGGATACGTTCCTGTACAGCTGAGCTGTCGCCCCCAGAAGCTGGGTCGCCCCAGCAAACAACCATGCCGTCATCTCTTCTGGCTGCAAATGCCCAATCGTTGGCCACCACCTGCCTCGAAGCAAATCGGCATGTGAGGTGGCAGCGTGCAATCTGCTCAACACTGCATGGCCAAGCTGCAGTATTTGGCCAATCAGCAGGTGGGACACCGCACTTGAGTCTCCGCCAGTTTGTGGATCACCCCACGTCATGACGGTGAAGCCGTTGCCTGAGACATGGGCTTCTAGCAAACCCTGAACCCTCAATGGATTTCAAGAGAACCCAGAACTCAGGACAAGGAACTCATTGGGTCTTCTCTTAAAGCGGCAAATGCCTTCAAGCTTGGGATGATGTCCTCAACTGATAAATTGGCAGACGCATCTTCACGCACCAGGATAATGTCTGAAATCATGCAGCACAAGCATCCACAATGCTGTGCTGCATGAGATGGCTTGTTGCGCTTGCGTCGCCACCGAAGTCTGGATTGCCCCAAGCAACCACCGCTCCCTTCTCCTGCTTTCGCAGTCGCAGGCATTGGTGGAGTGGGGAGGGTGAGGCATCAAAACAAAACTAAATAGGCATCAAAAAAACTAGACTGGAGAATCAAAAAGACACTTACAATAAGCATCAAAAAACTTAAGCACTAAAGTAAGCATCAAGAAAACAACTTCTCTGGTATTCTTTCTTGCGCTTCCTTTCGCCGTTCCTTCTTCTCTCTTTTTGTACTT